TGTTTCCCCTAATGCAACCGACCCGATTAAATAGCGCCGACTGAAAAGTTTTTTAATAAGATTATTCAAACATTTTTTTTATGACTATTAATTTTTATAAAATACAATTTGATAAAAACCCGTTTTTATCAGAAAGGTCGATATTGTTTTACTGTGATTTTCAAGCGTTTGCTGGAAACAAAATTGGTGCCCATATCATGTGGTAACAGAAGAATACTATATACGGTGTTATAAAACAACGGCGATGTATCAACCTTATGCCTTTACCTTACCCGAATCCTACATAAATCAATTTCATTGCGTTTTATTTAATATGAGTTTTGATCTAATATACAGTTCAACTATGTTCCATAGGAGATGTAATATGTCTGCATATTTCATCCTGATGAATGTCCTTTCTTTATGCCTTCTATTCATGGGTTAAACTTTGTGACTATGACATTGTATATGGAATTTTTAGATATGGTTTGGTTCAATTAAATATTGAAAAAGTACATTGCATTAAGCACTGGAAGCTGATAGTAGATTTGAAAAATACTCGAATGCCCTGTCTTTGCGTATCTGAGAATCGTCTTTTTAAATATTCGATTTCAATAAATTTACACTGGCTTGAGATATTTTACAAGTTCAATTGAAAAATACCTGTGAATTTAATTTACCTTAAACTTAACTTTCCAACGGCCTTTGTGCGATATTAATCTGTTAACAAATCGCTTTCTTTTATACTCTTCTTATTTATAAAGGTATTATTCCATTAAATTTTAGAAGGTATTTTCAAAGCTGCTATCTAAAAAAAAAATTATTTACCTACCTACCTACCCAACTTGTGATTTGAGGGTCGGATTAGGGGAAACAAAGATATTTTTAATGATGGCCTTAGGGATGGCAATGGTCAACTGGGTAACCGTCTAATCAGTCAGAAATATGGAAATCGGTTTAGTATGGGTTGACGGGTTATGATTTTCATAACCCGTTAGTCAGTATTTTTTGTATAATACGTACTTTTTAAATAATATACCAGTATACATATTTTTTTTTTTTAATTACCACTTAGATCATGTAGATAGAATATTAAAAAGAAGTCTCATTCAAGCAGATGCTCGACTGTCTCCACAACCTCCTGCTCGTTGGAGTTTACAGAGACAGACAAACATCTGCTTGAACGAGATTAGTTTAAAACTGAAAAGTTGCAACCAACTAATTAAATTATTCGCAATTGACAAATTAAATTATTCACAATATACAGCCACTGTGAAAACAAATCCCTATTATTTTGTCATTACAGTAAAACATGCTTATAAGTGCCAGGGACAAATAATTTTGATTCATTATAAATGTATTCATTTTTCAGTTTAGTTTTCAGTATGTTTTAAAGCCATAGGGAATGAAAATCACTTCACTATATGTTTCAATTCATTATAAGTATGTTCGCAGTAAGCATGTTTTACTGTGTAACCCAGATACCACACTAAGTTTACATACCCCAGTCATAAAAAAATTCTATTTTCTAATTTCAAGAACTAATTTTTTACTAAACAATGTTTTACATGGTAATTAATCTAGTTCATTATCCTGTAATGGTAGCCTAGTTGTAGGTCATTCATTTTGTAATCAGGAGGCCTGGCCTTGATTCTCATTTGCTGTGTCAAACCTAAGACATAAACATATAGGTAGTGAAGGTTCCTTTACCAAGCGCCCAGCATTAGAAGTGAAAGTCAAAGGTTTTTAAGATGAGACCTTAAAAACCTCACAATAGATGTTGGGACAATAAAGAACCCTCACTGCTCAATGGGCCTGAGTGCCAAGTATTTAGGTCTATATTTGAAGCCCTGTGGTAATGTCTCTATATGAGTAAAAAATTCTCAAATAAGATGTAAAACAACATACAATCAATCAAAGTGTCAGTAAGAATCTATCCTTACGTCGCAAGTTTGGATCCCACTGCTGGATGTGGAGATAGGTTCCTCGGATGAAACCGTTTAAACCGAGGTTCAGTGTCACAGAAGGTCCTGGCACGAAAAAGATCCCTCACTTCCAAAAGGCCACAAGTGTCAATTAAAGGACTATATTTGCAGGCCTCCACCTGGCAGCAAGTGGTGGCATAAAGATATGACTAAAAAAAATTTTGAAGGGGCAATAAACAAAACACAAACCTATCCTGAAGTCTCATCACAGAAATAATTCAAACTTTTATGTATAAAAATATTTCCAAATTTCTTTTGCAATTTAACAGTGCGACATTTTTGAGATTTTCCAATAATAATACATTTATTAACAGGGTTCAAGGGCAACATGTGTTTTGTCGGACCCAAGAACCAAACTGTTTTCCTGAGGCTGTAGGCCGAAGGAAGGAAAACAGTTTCGTTCAAAGGCACAGCAAATTGCATTTTACCCCGAGAACACAGTCAATAAATGTTTCGTTATACCTCTTATTTTCTTTTTTTTTGTTTGACATGCATGTATTTTGTGCTGGCTTCCGTGATGTAAATTTCCTTTACCAGCACTGAGGTTAAACTCCGTCAATTCCGTAGCTGTCGAACACCAAGGAATGCAAATGAGATTTAACTAATCCCCCCCCCCCCCCCCATTGTGTGATGTAAGTGGTCCAATGATCTCATCGACAGGTTCAATATCTCACTTCGCGATCCAACATCATTTTATGATTTTATGAAATCATTTTATGACCACTATTTAAACATTGGAAATGTTAGACATTTTAAGTATACAGCTGGTATAGATTAATATTAGGAACAAATTTAAGGTATAAAAAATTGTAATATTAATTAAGGCCCTAGTTCTAACAGCTAGTTATACTTGTTGAAGAATATATAACAATAATTATCATGTTTACACATGTAGTATGCTAGATAGTGTAATATTTGTTGAATTTTTGCATTTTTCTGTTTCAATCAAAAAAATAAGTCTTGGTGAAATTACATGCTCACATGTATTTAAATATAAGGTAAATCAATGGGGATTTGACAATGTCATGTCAGGGCTAATAGACAGAGTCTGAACCATAAGATAGATAACATACATCAGTGTTTGTGCGTACATTTATACAGTGGCTGGCATGGTGTAAATAATCCGAGATTCCTCTGACTCTAACCCCTGCTTTTATATTTTGACATGTGCACAACTGCCACATGTCAAAATATAAAAGCAGGAGTCAGAGGAATCTCGGATTAACATGTAAACAGGTAAACATCAGTGCTGTAAGCAGCTATTAGATTTTAGATAAGAAAAATTCTAACCTTCATTTCCAAGGTCCACGCCAATCACATATTAATTAAAATGTCACCGTGAACTCTTTCATCACTCGCTGTATATTTATCACTGAAAACTCCGACACAGACTGTTCATCGCTGTTAATGTGATCGTCAGAATTTCCTCGTAAACAATTTGCGCAAGAATATATGTATCCCCTTAAGACTTAATGCCCCCTGTACGCAGCCAAGGATTTCATGTGCTTCGTAGATGTGAATTAAATGTGCATGTCTACATACGGCTCGTACGTTGAGAAAATGTACAACTGTCAACTTCACATAATTTCTCATTTTCTGTACACTGTAATTCCGTCAGATTGAGTGTTATACATGATTTATTTTTAAAAAAATATTGATTATAAAGCATAATATGGTATACTAAACTACACTTTTTTGTAATATTTACTAACAAAGCTTCAGATCACATCTCGTTTTCGTATATCAGGTCTTTAGTATCTTCCTTCCCACAATGTCGCTCGTGATTGTTCACATCCAGGTTACAAACAAGAGGCCCCAATTAAGACTTTTTCTATACGGATGCATTATTACATGTTGATTTACCTTTATTGGTGTAAATAACTTGCATTTATAAATGATTTAAATAAAAGAAAACAGAAATCGAATCAAAACAATTTATTTAAAACACAACAGCTATCTAAAACCGTACAAGCATGTGCTACGATGCCCCAAAAGGCGTGGCTAGTTTGTAGACAACTTGTTCGTGTACGATTCTCAAATAATTATTTTATAAAATAGAATAAAATATAGCACTGAACTTGTTTCTCTTTATACCAGATGACAAGATTTAATATGTTAGAAATTATGTCATTCAAACTTTTTCATAATATTTTAATATTTTTAGCTATCCAAAAAATACTTTTATGAGCTGCTGTTCCCTAAATGTAGGGGCCAGCCCCTTTTTGTTGATGTTATCTGAAAGCTCTCGTAATTAGACACAACTTTTATTCAATATGTCTTACCAAATTTTTATCAGTTTAAAAGTTATTAAACAAAAAGCAGCAAAATTTCATGGAAAAATAATTCTTAAAATTTGCCGTCACAAAGCTTCCGAATTTAAAACAATTAGCCTACAATTTTAATGTTCTGCACCTCTACAATGTATTAGTTACAAGTTCTCCAATTTTCATGCAAATATCATATGTCGTTACTGAGATTTCTGCTGGACAAGAGACCCTCCAAATATCGATTAAAGGGCAATAACTCATGAACGGAGGTACATATCAAAAATTTGAAAAAACCATTTTTAGGCAATAATACATTGTATCTACCCTGAAAGTTTCATAGCAATCGGACAAAAGGTCTCCGAGAAATCGCCTGCTGAAAATCGGCGGGAAAAAAAAATAAATTAATAACAAGAAACAGTAGAATAACAGGTCTTCCGAAGGAAGTTCGGAAGACCCTCATAATAGGGAAAAAGAAACCGAAGGAAAACAATAAGGTCTTCCGTTGGAGACGGAAGACCTTAAAAAGAAACAGAAGAAAATCAATAGGTCTTTCCACAGAAAGGTGGAAAGACCTAATAAACAGAACAATTTCAATAGGTCTTTCCACAGAAAGGTGGAAAGATCTAAAAATAATAACAGAACAAGACGAAAACAATAGGGCTTTTTGCCTGAAAGCGAAAAGTCATAAAAACAGTGGAAAAGAAACCTAAGAATAACAAGGTCTTCCGTCTTCAGCTAATTATCTATGTTCTTCAACATTTTGTCATACCTCTGAGTAATAATAGACCGGAAAACCTGGTCCATGGGCAAATTTTACCAAAAAATCCGGTGTATCATCGCTGTTGTAAAAGCCAGGAGCTGGTGTACTACAAATAAAAGATAATTCTTAGACTTAACATGAATGCATGCTACTAACTTTTATATTTATTTTCATTATCTCAGGGACAACAAAAAACATTTTGACGCAAATCTAGTAAAAAACGGAGGCTTCTTGCAACAGGACGGGACTTCACAAAACATAATTGTAATGATACAAGTATATGATGTAATAATGCTTACTCCGATTGACTCGAATTTTTTTTTAACTTTACAGGGCTCTATTAAATTCATGCCAAAAGTTTGGCTGCTTGATATCCAGAAGAAAAGAAGATTTTAACCAAGAAGTTTTAAAGTTATTTTTGTTCGCTTTCAGTGTTCCAGCTACAGTTGTAGGATGTGAAAATGGAGGGGTGCAAAAGAAGAGCACTTTTTCGCAACTTACCGTTTGTCGCAAGCTTTTGTTACATAAGCGTATCTCATTTAGCCTACTTCACCCTTATAATAATGATCTCCTTCAAATATTATTAACTTATTTAATCTTATTGATTTGAAAGTTCTATAAAAACATGTACACTAATCTATAGCTAATAAGTAAACATATATTATAAAAGAATTTTAAAAAAAAATAAACTAACGTAAATGTTACTTTTCCCCCCTCTTTTTCAATCATTTTCTATTCTAATTTCCTATTTTTCAATAATAGCACCATAATTCATATAAACTAGCTGGTGTCTCACATTATGGCAGTACATGTAGATCTACATGTATTAATCGAGTCTGTTTTTGGCAGATTGTATAAAATAGATACAGTATTTGTAGGTCATAAGTAAAATATTAGTTTTAAACTTACAATTTAAAACAATATCCATTTTGCTTTATTTATCATATATGGTCATGTTAGTGGCAGATAACTAATTAATTAAATTTAGATTAAAACTTCTGCAAGGAAATGGAACACATGCAGTTACAATATTATCTGTAACCTTTCATAATACCTTCCAGAGTGTCAAAAATCATAATTAAGGAGAAAATAATTGAATATTTTTACTTGTTTCTGTGCCATTTAATTTAAAATTCCTTCATTTTTTCAGGAAAAAAGTCAACAATTTATAAATAGAATTGAAGGTCAATGTTAATGCTACTTTCACTTCGTGATTTATTTTTAGAACGCTATAAGATTTTATATTAAAACGGATAGCTTGGACATTCTCAAAGTATTTCAGTTTTTAACCCCTATTCAGACTGTCAAGTGATCAGAGTAATTACCGAATCACCTGAAATTGAAGGTGGGCACCTGTACATGCATGCAGTGTACAGAGGTACCGCAATGCGTTTCATAGCGTAATCGTCCATTGCAGCAGGTGTGAATTGCTGATTGTCCTTGGGTAATTTGCTTTGGAACACATTAATTATTCTAATGAGGGAAAAGGACAGTCAGAATAATACTTGACACAAACAGAGGACACAGGAGCGCCTGTGGGGGCAGAGGGGCGCACTGATCTGAGGGCGGGGCGCTGCGCCCCTCCATTTCTCCCTAGCTGGAACACTGGCTTTTGATATTGTTGTTTGATATTGGTTCAGAGGTTTCGGAGAAGTTATATGTGTTCACCACAGATACCTATAGACAGCAAAAGGACACCTGAGTGACGGGATTTTTTTTTTATATATAAAAACCGCATGAGTTTTTGTCCTAAAATATTATATTTTATTATGCTATGCCTATATACCGCCAAGTCGCAGGCATTACGTCCCGGGTTCGAATTTCACTGCGGAACGTGGAGACCGATACTTCGGATAAGACTATATAAACTGAGGCCCCGTGTCGAGTAGGTGCTGGCACAAAAAGATCCCTCACTACTCAATGGCCCTAAGTGCCGAGTATATATAGGTCTAATTTGCAGCTCTTCACTGGTAAGTGGTGGCGTTTCCATATGAGTGAAAAATTCTCAAGAGGGTCGTTAAACAACAAACAAACTAAATAAATATCATTAATCTGTGTTACAAATTCATAATTCAAAAAAGCTCCGTTCAATTATATTCGGTCGGTAGCGATATCGCTAGAACTTGTTCAAGTACGAGGGTTTCCAATGTAAGGTAAACTCACCGGGTGAGTTAAAAAGCCTCGGACACATCCCTTGCTTCGAACTACTTAAAGTTTTTTAACTCGTCCGGTGAATTTACCATATGCAACTAATTGTGGGTCGATATCGTCAGTTAAACCAGAGTTGATTTTAATAAAAGATAAAAATAGTTTCATTTTACTAGTTTAAATGCACCGAGATGAAGGTTTGACATTTTCCGGTTTAAAATACCGTTTGTCCGATGCATGTTGAATATTGTCCGGTCCATGAATTCACACTCGTTTAAAAAATCATTTTAATGATATTTTCTCAATAAATAGCATACAATTGTATCATAAATTTATAGTCTTATCCCATACTACATGTCAAGCTCCTCTTTGATAATAATCGATCGGGAGCGATATCGCTAGGACTTCCTGAAGTACATTGTAGGAGGATGTCCGATGCATACTGAACTCACCCTATTAGTCATGAAACATCAACTAAAAAAGCAGCCATAGGACAAGAATCCATGGAAACTTAAATTACAACTTTTTTTCTTACTTGTAGGATTCAGAAGATGGAAAGGAAAAATTCCAAAGCTGAGAGAAAGTTTTTCCATCAAATGCTGTTACAATGGAATTGAACATAGACATGATGATTTCTTCCTCACCATCTCCATTGACGTCAAGTAAAACAGGCGGTGTCATCACACCCTTTTCATTGTCAGAGAAAATACAAATTGCCTACAATAAAATTTTACATAGTATACGTTATGGAAACGGTTTACGAATAATAAAAGTACATGCATTTATATGTCTGTATTGATTCCAGATTAAAGGTGTACAAGCATCACATTAACCATAAGAACTTTTATCATTTTATGACATTTCCGTGATTTGACATATCTTACATCTATACAGCGCCGCTGGAGGGCCAAAAAAATTGAATTTGTTCGGATGAATTAGATACTTGTTCGTACGAAAAAGAAATTCGTTCGGACAAATTAGAAATTCGTTTGGACAAATTAGATATTTGTTCGGACAAATTAGAAATTCGTTCGGACAAATTAGAAATTCGTTCGGACGAAATGGATATTTGTTCGGACAAATTACAAATTAGAAATTCGTTTGGACAAATTGGATATTTGTTCGGACAAATTAGAAATTCGTTCGGACGAATTGGATATTTGTTCGGACAAATTATAATTAGAAATTCGTTCGGACGAATTAAATACTTGTTAGGACGAATCATAAATTTGTTCGGACGAAATAATTATTTGTTAGGACAAATTAAATATTTAAATGCTGGCAATGATTAAGAAAATATTTTAATTTTCTGCAAAATATCATTTATGAACAACATCATCAAGAAATATTTGGATGATAAGAGTCTTGTATTTCTACTCTTTTTGATCATGATCTCTTTATTATTATTTTAATCTTCTACCCTGCATTCATTAATTATGGCATGTGAATTATTTGATGAAATACAGTACCGGTACTTGTGCGATGTATATGATGAAAAATTTTCTTAATGAGTTTTAATATTCCTGTGTGTGTATTAAGAAAACTTTACAAAATTGCAAGTGTTTATATTGATCCTCATATTAAACTCACTAAGAATGAAAATGAGGAAAAGATGGAATAAAACATCTAATCACAACCGCGGAAGTGGTGTCAAACGGTCACGACTATATACACTGCATGAAAAATATATTTTAAGCTAACCTGTAGCTTTACAGAGCATAATTATAGGCATTTAACCCCCAACCCCATCCCTCATTTGAGAGGTAGTCAGACAAAATATTTTTGAATTTCATTTACAGCATTTCTAAATTTTATTATCCCCTCGAGCTCGGAACGGAATCGGAGGAGATAAAGTAACGCGCTCGTGTGTGTTTTAGTTTGTCCTGTGCGAAACGGAAGTGACGTAATCTGCATCGGGATCGATGTAGAATGTTCCCTTGATTTATAGATCTGCTCTTTGCGAGGGGGTGATACGCTTTGCAGTACCCTTGTTATCCCCTCGCGCAACTAGTTGCGGAGGGGATATAGCATCGCTACTGTGCGTATGTGTGTGTTAGTGTGTCCGTTACAGCTTGTGGGCAAGATTTAAAGAAAACCTTTGCACTATCATCTTTCAGCTTCACATACTTATGTGGCAATGTAAAAGAACGAACCTTGTTCATTTTCAAGTTAATCGATGAAATAGTTCTTAAAATATCGCGTTTTTACTACCTTCAAACCCTGCAATTTTATGTACGAGTTGACAATACTCACTTCCGGTAAAGGACAAGATAGGCTAAGACCCCTTTCTGGCCCCTGGTTTGGGGTTTGTTTTAGAATGATGCAACAGTTTTCTAAATAGAATCCTGTTGTTACCCCTGCCACAAAATGAGTATTGGTTTTAAGTTATTGGATACACAGAGGTCACAAGAAGGTCAGAAAATATGTCTATTTCCGAATTTTCTCATTTTTATGCAAATTTTCATCTATTTTACAGCACATTTTGTTTCAGAAAACATAGAGCACAAGCTTGCTTATCTACCAAATTTATATATTTCACACACTAGTATCAGATGCATCTTATGTATAAAAATCTCAGATAGGCAAGCTTGTGCTCTAATTTTCCCGAAGTGTAAAGTATCTGAAATTTGACAAAATTCCACCAGAATTGAGGAAATTCAGGAAAATGTCCTACTTCTGCACCCTCTTGTGGCCTCTGTGTAAGCTTTGAATCAAAATTAGTCCTGATTTTAAAACAAGCTTCATTTTAAGTTCTTAATTACAGACTATCACAATTTTAACTGTGTTCTGATTTTTACATCAAATAAGGGGCCAGATTCGGCCGTTACCATACCTTGTCCAGGTTAAAATTTGGGTCGTTTCGATAGAGCCGCTTCGGCAAGTTCTACTTTGTATTTGCGTATTGTAATATTATTGTGCGTATCTTGAGAAAGTTTGTATGAAATAAAAGTGTCATCTCTGTCACTGAATACTAAAATAATCTGATGGACGTCGCGGTTTCAATACCAAATTACCACACGTGTGTGTTTACAATAGGGGCCTGTGGAATTTAATCTTGAGGGGCACGTAATTCTTGAAAGCTATAAATATAAAGTTTCACAAGTTTCATTGACATCTCAACACGGGTATATTGTCATTTTTCACTACAAAAATATTACTTCCATTGGTATTTTCAGATTTGATGCATATTGCATGCTACTGTGAGGTTTACTTAGGTAAGTAAATTAATGAAATTTAGAGCATACGTGATATGTTTCTGCTAGGAATAAGGGAAACTGCCCAATCACGTATGCTTGTTATGACCCAACCTCCCCCCCCCCCCCCCCGACGATATCAACCTTGACTTTTGTTAAAATCTAATTAGTGTTGCAATACATTTTAATTTCTTTACCTTATTTTAATCTTTATAGAGTAATACTGGGTACCCTTGATTACTAGGCCTAGATAATTGTATCTTGTTTAACGTCCCTCTGGAGAATTTTCTCTTGTATTGAGACATTGCCATTACCGGTGAAGTTCCTGGCGCGAGGGGATGCTCCGCTTAGCGGTGCTCTTGTTAATACAAGAACCCAGAGCGCCTACCGCCATGGTCACCCTTCAAAAGAAGGAGCTGAAGACACAGACCTGAATCGGTCTGGGCACTCCCAGGCCGATGGCATTTGAAGCATAAACCACACCGTCGTCGACGCTTACGTGGCCTGGGAAAGGAACCCACATGCTTGCCTTGAGAGGTCTTTTGCTCATTACTACGTAACGACTTATCATAAGAACTTAGCTTTGACTTCGGCGAGTTCTTGCGGCTACAGGTTTCATAGGTAGTCCTATGTGGAGCTGGTTTGGGGAGACCTTGACCGCTCCGCACCTCACAACTGACTGTCTAACAAGACAGAGCGCACCCCTCTATGCTGAGGGATAAGGGTTTGGTGGCTTAGCTGATAGATCTTAACACGCCGAACAGCTTCATCTAAATTTACAGGAGGACTGTCTATCAGTCTCCAACCGGCAGTGCATCCTGACAGCCCATCGCGAACCGCAGGACTGCCTGCTCTTGGAGCACTTGTCCCGGAACTTTCGCCCCTAGAGCCTGTTGCGCTGTCTCCATGTGTCGATCACTCCACTGCTCTAAACTCTCCTCGGTCTTCTGGGTCATGGAGTTAAACTCAACATGTGAGGAAACTTGCAGTGTGCCCTTCTTAAATCGTTGTTCAATTCGGGATGCTATTTAGCTAAAAGTCATATCCTCACCACGCGAGGAGAGAAGGTGAAAATATAAGTGCAGGCCCCTCTACTGAGATGCTAAGACCTAACAGACTGTCATCATCGTTCCACCCATAATACCTAGCCAATGTCCTAAACTTAGCATAGAACAAACCCCACTCTAAGCTTCCAGTGTATTTTAGACTCTTAGCCTCTGCTGGGATATTACGCCAAAACCTTAACGATTCATTATGAGATGATCCAAAGAGTCTTCCAGGGGTTCCTAGAGAAGCATTTTCTCTACCAAATAAGACATTACTCTCCTTTGGCCTCAATTCCACAGCTGGACTCCCCAAATGACAACTGGCACAGCCTCAATTCCTGTCTGATGCCTACGATACATCTGTCCCGAGGCAGAACATGAGTGGCTCTGAGTCCCGTGGTATCCCCTACTTGTATGTGCATATGCGGCTCTGAGTCCCGTGGTATCCCCTACTTGTATGTGCATATGCCTCCTGAGACATAGAGTAATCTGACTTACACGGAAGTGGTGAACCTTCAACACCATATAAAGGCTCAGTCAAGGACACTGCCCCCTTACTGTTGTGTGACTGTGTCTTGACTTTCTTAATGCTCAAGGCATGGCTAACCCAACTCACCTGACTAACACTTTCACTGGGAGAAACTACCACTGGGTTACTGCCATACCCACTTGAAAAGGAAACCCGACACTTTTAATTCCCCTGCTCAGATTGCAATTGACCTCCTAGTGAGAAAACTACACTGCTACTGGTACATGTAACCTGAGTGTTGCTGGGTACACTTGTCTAATAAGTGGGGACACCTGACCTGGGACTACTCAAGGGGGTTATAATATTGTGCCTGCTCATTGCAGTGTTCCAGCTATCCTCCCTAAAACTAGATTCCAGGGAGTGGCAACCACCAGCTGAATCTGACATTCTCATCAGTATTTGGGTCAATTGAGCGTTTATTTGCGTTTTAACCTCTACCAACCTGGCCATGACCTCATCATTGCTTGGTACAGCCCCCAGACTCCGGCACTGTTCACCCCGGTTGTCCCCATGGTAGTGGTTGTATTTATTACAGGCCTATCACTACTCCGAAGAGTGAGGGACATATATCTACTTCCGCAACTACAGTACTGTTCTCACCCTCCCTAATGCCTGGGGTACTAAATACTGGTGGTCTAAACGGAGTCAACAACCCAAAAAGTTGGTCCAACCTGTCAGGTTGAGATCCACCACAGCCATTAACATCCTGCCCATGGGCCCCTGGCAAACCACATGGCCTAGCTACATTGCCCCTCTCCAAATCCCAGGACACCCATGCCACTCATGAGCTCGGGACTCTCCATACATCAACCAAATGACCATTGCTTTTCACTCTTAACTCCTTTTCAGCACTTAACTGACAACAAATTAAAGTTTGGGTTGACCTACTGCCCTAGTACACAAAACCATCAAAGCTCAACAGAAAAATCAATTCACATAAAGACATATTTAAAATCACGGATTTCTGACAATTTTCACTAATAATTCCTTATTTCATTCATTTAAAAATAAATTAAGAATATTGTCAATTACATGTGGCCAAACCGCACAGTGTCCCCTAGGCACCGCAGCGGTCATAAAAGACCGTCAGAAATCATACCGGCGACGCCAATGAAGTGATTTCCCAAAAGAATGAAGATTATCAAATCACTTTAAGGAAGAGATTGCAAGGCGTCATAAAATAAAATTGTTTACGGTAACCATTTCCGGAATAAGCCACGCGCATGAGCGCGATATATATCGCGGACGAAAAGGCTGCAGCACAATGTCATAGATTAAATGGGAAATTTGTCAAGAAAGGTAAATCAAAGAGCTTAAAATATTTCAACAATGTTAATACTGATTTGCGAAAAACCGGGCGCCCAGAACATTCGTATTACAAACAAGAAGAGGCAGATGATCCGCTCCAGACGATAGTAGACATAGTGCCGTCGGAGTTGTGTGTCGAAACAGAAGGCGAAATTTCGTGGAAAGACGGGCGGCGCATAATTGAAATAAAACATTTAGCAGACCAAATGTTCAGCGACAAGTGCATCCATCCCCTTCACTTGTCAATGTTGGTGAGAAGATATGTGGCCTGGGAAGTTTTTTTTATATATTCAGTGTGTCAGTTCCCAGTGCCTTTCCATCAAAAGTGACCACTGGAAAACGCAACTCATAGGGCGTTTTTGATATCAACAACAAAACCACTATAGGTAAGTTTTTATATGTATACTTTTACAGTAGTCAATTAATTAATATTATAATATGTATAAGAAGACAGCAAACCTGAAACTGGAAAATGCTATGTACAGTATTGGCGTGAACATTGGGTGAAATCGTAAATTGGCGTTTTCATCATTTTAACCGAGGATCTATATATGATCCTGTTTTAATATTTTAGGAGAGTTTATGATTTAATGCCTATATATAAAGTACACAATTGCTAGAATATAACTAATGCCACAAAAGTTTAATGCATGAAAGGATATAGGATTTCCCCCCAGAACCAAGGGGTATATATATATATATATATATATATATATATATATATATATATATATATATATATATATATATATATATACCATTTCAGAATTTTTTATTTGTACAATTTTTAATATAATTTTTTTCAAGAAATTGCGTTCAAATCTACACATATTTCATTTTTTTCCCGACTAACCGATTACACGTTTTCAAAACGATTACCATTGTTCCGACCGAGTAAACGGTTAACCGGTTACAAATTGCCATCCCTAATAAACAAACAAGCATTCTGAGAGTATTGCATTAACAATACTAGTCCCCTACCGGCAAGTGTAATCTGGTTCCCATTAAAAATTGAAAATGCCATATTCCGTCAAAAATCAATGCAAACTTGATCTATAACTCATCAAGGTAAAGTCACATACCAAAAATCAGAAAAATATCTGCAAGCATTTAGAAAAAAGTTGGGGAAAACCCTGAAAAATTGAAAAGGTCGTAATTCCGTCAAAAATCATCGAAGCGGAACAAAACTCAAACTTGATCTGTAACTCATATCAAGATACACTCACATACCAAAAATCAGCTCAATATCTGCAAGCGTTTAGAAAAAAAGTGCGGAAAATCAAGTGGGACAGACTGACAGAAAGACAGAGGGACACACGGACAGACAGACGGACGGACAGACTCAGAGGAAACCTATAGTCCCCTCCGGTTTTACCGGTAGGGGACTTGTAAATAAATATATACATGTAGGACTCCAAAGTGCGATAGAACTCCAAAGTCCGATGGTCACGCCAAAACCCGATGGTTTGACACGCCAAAGTCCGATGGTGCGGAAAAACAATTGACGTTTGTGACGTCATAGTACTACTGCGCCAAACTGCAATGCCGCGCCATGCCAAGGTCTTAAATAAGTATAAATAAATATCATTATGCGAAAACTAATCTCTCGGATAGGTGCGAAACTAACCCTAATCGCTTGAAAAGTGTGTAACAACTATAACCTAGATATCTTGGGTGGGTGCGAGACTAACCCTAATCACTCGACTAGTGTGCGAGGACAAACCCTTAATCTCTTGGGTTGGTGCGAAGCAAAGACTAACCCTAATCAGTCGAGTGGTGTGCGAGGATTAACCCTAATATCTCTTGTGGGTGCAAGAAATAAGCAAAATCAGTAAAATTGTATGCGAGGACGAATACTGAACTGATGGCTTTTGAATGCAGAACAACGGCGTCAAGGATTGACGTCGGAATATTGCGACGTCATAAACGTGATTGTTTCTTGGCACCATCGGACTTTGGCGTGTCAGACCATCGCACTTAGCGCAGCGCGTCTCATAGGAAACGAACCATCGGACTTTGGCGTGACCATCGGACTTTGGCGTCCGTACCGACATCAAACCATCGGGGTTTGGCGAGACCATCGGACTTTGGCGTCACAAACCCTAAATCTCTCGGGTTGTTGCGAAGCAAGGACTAACTCAAGTCAGTCGAGTTGTGTGCGAGGACTAACCCTAATATCTCTTGTGGGTGCAAGAAATAAGCAAAATCAGTAAAATTGTATGCGAGGACGAATACCGAACTGATGGCTTTTGAATGCAGGACAACGGCGTCAAGGATTGACGTCGGAATATTGTGACGTCATAAACCTTGATTGTTTCTTGGTACCATCGGATGACTTTGGCGTGTCAGACCATCGCACTTTAGCGCAGCGCGTCTCATATGAAAAGAGCCATCCTACTTTGGCGTGACCATCGGACTTTGGCGTCCGTACCGACATCAAACCATCGGGGTTTGGCGCAGATCATCGGGGTTTGGCGAGACCATCGGACTTTGGCGTCACCATCGGACTTTGGACTCTTACACACACACACACACACACACATATATATATATATATATAGGACAGGTCGTCCCGAAAATTTGACAATTTTTATTGTTCGTGTCGTTGGTCATTTTTAGTGCTTTATATAAATTTCCATCCTTGACCTTGTATCTAGCTACTTAGTAGATCCAACACTTAGGAAATACAGTGTTGTTGGTTTTTAGTGCTTATATATATATATATATATATATATATATATATATATATATATATATATATATATATATATATATATATATATATATATATATATCCATATTTTAATTGAAGTTCGAAAACAATTTTCTTCATCATTTTTACTTTTTCTAACCGGTGATAGAACAAATCATTAATTTTGATTATCCAAAGACCCCCTCCATGTGTCTCCCCTCCTGTCCCGAACATAACAAGTTTTGTCCCGTCTGTTCTAGTAAGGACTTGTGGTGAGTAGTAAGATTCTTTTTCATCAGGCACCCCTGACCAGCTGAGGACCTTTCCTGATTTCCCACAGAAGAAGATTATTCGACCAGATAGGCGATGTTGACTACCTGTCCAAAAAAAAAAAATCTTTAGAGTGTCCCAGAGCGCATGCAAAAGCAGGTTGTTGATTGGTTTATTTATTCAAGAAGGAGAGATGAGAAAGTATGATCTATCTTTTCCTAGTTGAATACATCCTGATATTATAAATGAGGAAACTATTTAGTTATCGCAGAACCGCTGAAAATATAGAAAATTGACATCGATACCATGATAAAAAAACTTCTTGAAACATTAAAAAAATGTAAATATTTCAGGAATATTTGAAGAGCATATGCTGAAAGTCCCTCGAAAAAATCTGAGTAAAAGTTGATTTCTGTATGCTGCTTTTGTGGATTTTTTATTGCCCAACTTATACGCATACTTGTTTCTGGAACCAATGTGTTATGCTTATTATTATCAGAAAACCTCAGCCCTAAGTGAAGATATATTAATATAGAAAGCACAAAGAAATTCACTTTTACAAGGATACCCACTTCCGTCTCAACCCGGGGTTGAATTCTCGACCTACGGAATCTGTCTCCTAGCAGTACAATAATAGCGCGCTAGACCGCTCGGCCATCTAGGCGTCATAAAACTTGCTTTCGATGCCGATGGAATTCTCGCGGCGCTGTCCTACACTACGCGGTCATTGAGAATAGAAGTGTTTTTGTTCGTTTGTTGTTTAACGTCCCTCTCGAGAATTTTTCACTCGTATGGAGACGCCACCACTTGCCGGTGGAGAGCTGCAAATTTTGTCCTAAATTCGGCACTTACGGCCATTAAGCAGTGAGGGATCTTTTTCGTTCCAGCACCTACTGCGACACGGGACCTCGGTTTATACGGTCTCATCCGAAGGACCGGCCTCCACGTCCCACAGTGGGATTCGAACCCGCGACGTAAGGATCAACTCCTTACTCCGCGACTCTAGAGCAGACGCTCTAAACACTGCGCCACGCGGGCGACGAGAATGGAAGTGAGATACAGTTATTTGAACATTAGTTTTATTAGAGGATCGTTACCGATACACATTGTAATGAATTGATTTTATTTGTAAAGCACATTTTACGACAACTCTTAAAATAACATAACTTCCCTAAGTGAAGATTGATTGATTGTATGTTGTTTACGTCCCATTTGAGAAAATTTCACTCATATAGAGACGTCTCCTAAGTGGAAAAAATATTAACGTAGAAAGCACAAAGAAATTCAGTTTTTCAAGGATACCCACTTCCGCTCCAACCCGGGGATATATATATATATATATATATATATATATATATATATATATATATATATATATATATATATATATAATGCAGAATTTTGCATAACTAAGCAATGGAATAGAGTACCAAAAGGGGAAGATGTGAGCAATTTGGGGAACATCTGATTTCTGATCAGTTTTTTTTTTCTTTTTCTCTCTCTCTTTTTTTTTTTTTTTTTTTTTTTTTTTTTTACATGTATCTATCTAGAAAATATATCAATACATCTGCTGAAGTCTGCTAAACTTTAAAGTTTAGAAATGAAGGAAGAAAATTGATATATATTTTTAATGTATAAACTTAAGCTAGTTTAGTTGGTAAAAAAATAAATTATTAATGATTTATACTTTCGCGTAAAATGTAGTCCTCATTATGAAAACAGGGAGACAGCAATGGCTTAGCTACCAATGAAACGGAGCTGTATGATGTGTAAGAAAAAGATAAAATGAAGTCTTTAATAAATGTCAGTTGAAATTTCAAGTTTGTAAATGTGCTAATAAATACCAGTTTGAATTTCAAGTTCTTGTTCAAAAGTAAGGCTGTTTTTTTTGGGGCACATAATGAATTATGTTGATCAACATATACATCTATATGACTTTTATTTTCTCTATCAAAAGACATACCTGGTTTACTTAGAGGATCACCGCCGTGAATTGCCAGTATGTCTACTACAGAATCCCCGTTTAAATCGTCAATAATGTGAGCAGTATACAGATTCATGATTCGGTTTCTCACGTTTTCATTCTCAAACTTCCATAGTAAATCTCCAGTTCGTCCATTCACCGCAACAAAAACCTGTATGTAGTCAAATATATAATACCCGAGTATCAAACAAGAGATAATATAGTTAAGCAGTTGATGAAACTTATCTCTGAAAAAAGAAAATATACTCTTTGAAATGTTTCATGTATAAACAAACAGGGTCTATAAAGGAAGTAAGTATCATTGAGTTTTCCTTCACCACAATAGGGGCCAGTGGCGTATATTCCATATAGGCAAAAAGGTTGTAGCCTGTAAATCCTTTTTTTTAAAATATAAAAACATTTTTTAAAGGGGAAAAAAGATTTTCAAATTTTGTCCACCCAATTCCAAAAAAGTATTCTTAGCAACCTGCATTTTATACAGTTGCTTATCCGAATTCGGATACTGTTAAGTCATTTATAGTGACATTGAAATATTATTATAAAGCAATATCAGACTATTTAAAAAAAAATCAACAGCAGCGAAGTCCTTAGCTGGACAACGGACTATGAATTGTAATTCTATCACACAAATATAAACTGTATTACACGCACAAGCCGAAGTATACATTCTATCATATTTGTGTATATAGCCTAAAAAGAATCTTTTCCATGATTTACTAAGCACTGTAAAAGGGTTCAGCTATGCGGGGTTAAAATTTATGGCTACTTAAGATTAATAGCATAGTAAAGAAAAATAAATTTATTTTTTAAATAACTGGTCAAATGATAATTATAGATGTCTTCAAGTGTGCAGAAAAAAAATCAAAATTGCTATTAACTGTTTGTTCTTGTGGTACTAAGACAAGAAAAATCATAACATAGCAAATTCACTTTATTTTGTATCATATAAGATTGTGTAATTCTCGGGAGAGCCCCCCTCAACACACCTGGGTGGGGGGATATTCAGTTCTAAAAGCCTCATGCGAAGTCTTCTACTTCACATTAGCCAAAGAAACGATTATAGGCCACTGGGGACGTAGAATATTTCTACACTTTAACCAGACCTCGGATATACACATAATTTCAGACTACTGATACCCCCCCCCCCCAAAAAAAAAACTTCCTGGATAGTTTGTTCCATGTACCTCGCATTGATGAACTAAAACGGCAAGAAAGAACATCTTCGGAAGTAGCTAATTTATTTCTGCTGATGATTGGAGAAAATAAATATACATTTCATCTATTATTTCTTCAGCCATTGATGGCATTCGATTCCCCTATGATTCGTTATTTTTCTGTCATATATTTGTTTTCTATATTCTACATAATATATATATTTAGATCAACAAACATCAAAGTTGGGTTATACCGGATGAAAATGAAATGTTTGTCCCAAATCCACTGCGCTGTTTTAAGTGCCAGCGATTTGGGCATGGAAATAATTGTAAAGGCTCTGATGCTTGTTTCAGGTGTGGTGAAGAGGAACATGACGGAAACAGTTGTAATAGGGGAACCCAAAATGTAAAAACTGCAAAGGAAACCATATGGCGTCTTCTAAACAGTGTCCAATTTGGAAAAAAGAAATACAACTAGATGCGATCTCGTTGCGAGCAACGAGTGGGTCTTCCGTCCGATTTTTGATAAGATGTGATACGAATTTGAATGAGATTTCCGTTTATAAATATATAAATAGTCAAAACGTACAATGTTAAACAAAATTTTGATCATTAAAGAGTTATAAATAAAAAGGTTTTTGGACCCTCTTATGGCACCTAAAACGTAATATTTGATGAAAATCTTAAAATATATATAGTAGCAGATCGTGAAGATGAACATTACTGTTAAAGAGTTACAGATGAAAGACTTTTGGCCCCTCTGAGCCCCTCAATTGAGGGGTCAGCCTCTTTCTCTTGATATCACATGAAAGGCCTTGTAGTTCTGAAGACTTTTTGTTCAACAACTATTCAGAAGTTACGTTTCGTTTTTGAGATATGTAGACTTGAAATATTTAGGGTCCGACCCTTTAAGTCCTGATAGGGGCTGTTTAGGAAAAATTAGAAGGATGCACATTGCTGAGAACATCATTCTTAACATCATTTGTTCTATATTGCTTTTCAAGACGTTTCCACTTTTCGAGATATAAGGCATAAAAAAATTACCATTCTGGCCCCTTATGGCTACTAATTACGTAATATTTGAAGAAAACTTTAAGATACGTAGTTGCTGTGTGTGTAGATGAATATTTTTGCTTCAATAATTTATATCAAAATATTTAACGTTAAAAAGTTATAGATGAAAGACTTTTGGCCCCATTGAGCCCCTAATTTGAGGGGTCAGCCCCTTTCTCTTGATATCACATGAAAGGTCTTGTAATTCTGAAGACTTTTGATTCAACAACTATTCAAAAGTTTCGTTTCGTTTTTGAGATATGTAGACTTGAAATATTTAGGGGCCGTCCCTTTAAGTCCTTATAGAGGCTGTTTAGGAAAATAAAAAGGAAATACATTGTTGAGAACATCATTCTAAACAACTTTTTTTTCAATATTGCATTTCAAAATGTTTCCACTTTTCGAGATATAAAGCATCAGAGATTAAGCATTCTGGTCCCTTATGGCTCATTATTACGTAATATTTGATAAAAAATTTAAAATATATGGTTGCAGATTGTGAAGATGAACATTTTTGCTTCAACAATTAATATCAAAATATTTCACGTTAAAGAGTTATAGGTAAAAGACTTATGGCCCTTCTGAGCCCTTAATTTGAGGGGTCAGCCCCTTTTTCTTGATATCACATGAAAGGTCTTGTAATTCTGAAGACGTTTTGTTCTACAACTATTCAGAAGTTCAAAGAAGGTCACGGGGCACTGAGCAGAGTGGACGTGTTTTCACTGCTCTCAGTCATTTTTGACCATTTGCATTATTTGCAATCTGTGTATCCAAAATTTAATCGAATTATTGAAAGAAGGGGATTCGGTGTGATCTGGATGCATTTTTGTGTGTTTTTTTGTGGTGTTTTTTGGATTTATGGATTAAATTGAATAATTTAAATCTGCGCTGAACAGTGAGTACGTACTCAGTCCTACTCATTCATCGGCTATTGTGAATATCTTTTGTGTATATAGATTCTTACCTGTGAATACGTTCAACTTTGAACAGATTTGTTTGTTTTCATTTTTATTACAAAATGGCACAAATGCTAAAACCCGTTTACTTAAAAGAGAGTGATCTACCCAAAGAAGATAACGAGCGGGTAACCAATTTTGACCTGGATGCCGTCAGCCACAGCGTATGTGCAGACGCGATAAAATGCATTCAGCTTGACAGAAATTTGTGGAGAATACATTTTAATGACAAGCAAAACAGGGATTCTGTTTTACTTGATGGCTTTGAATTCAAAAACCTTCACATTGAGGTGTATGACACAAACCCATACTCCGCTGGTCTTGAAAACCCCAGTGATGAGGCCCTAAAAGCTACCATTTGCGGTGTTCCATTGTCAGTAGACGACAGTGCAATACTAGAAATGTTGACAAAATTAGGTGCACGCCCAAAAAGTGCATTGAAGTACGAGAAAATCAGAAACCCCTCCAATAATAAAATGACAAATGTTTTAAATGGCAATCGCTTCATCTATGTCGAGCCACTTATGTGCAAACCACTCCCACGATTTAGCTACTGTGCTGGGCTAAAATGTAAAATTCTACATCGTGGGCAAGAATCTGAGAAACCCCCACTAGCCTGTACAAAGTGCTGGGAGAGCGACCATCATGCCCGAAACTGCTCGAACGAAAAAAAATGTACTGCTTGTAAAACGCCAGGACATGAACCGGGCTCAGAAATTTGTCCTAAATTTGTTCAAAATCAAAAGAATGTTGTGAATATACAAGGAGAAAAAAATGATCTATCAAATTTCTATCCCTGTGATCTAAAAGTGTTTGGGGAAAATTTCAATTCCGCAGAGCAGGCATATCAACTCACCAAAGCCGTCCGCACCGGAAACCTTGTTGCTGCTGAAAGGATTCGTGAAGCCAAGTCAGCTCTACAATGCAAATTAATCGACAATACCCTTACCAGTACTCCGCAATGGAAAAATGATGCTGACGAGGTCATGGAGCAAATCTTGTGCGCAAAGATCGACCAACTCAAAGATATGAAAGATCTGCTTACATCTTTCAGACCGGACACAGTGTTTTCCCATTCTGTTTACGATCTATACTGGGGTACCGGTTTGGATTCCTTGAAAACAGCTCACACTGATCCAGATGCTTGGCCCGGGCAGAATAAGTTCGGTAAGATAATTCAGCGCCTTGCGGACAAGGTACGAAAAACGAAACCACGCTCTGTTTCCCTCCCAAGATCCAGAAAAACCAGACAACAAGGTATTGAAAACTTTATGAGTTAAGATAATAACCCTATCAGTCAGACTTATAACTATTCATGTCTTCTGTTAAATTTGTTTCTTTGAACTGCCGAGGTTTGAATGATTATAAAAAAAGAGTAATTTTATGATTGGTTAAATAATAATAATTGTGACATCGCATTTTTGCAAGAAACTCATTTTGTAGTAGAAAGAGAGTATATATACAACTCAAGGTGGAATGGTACATCTTTTCACTGTTTTTCCACATCGTCACACAGTAAAGGTGTTTCAATTTTGATAAATGATAAATTTCACTTTAAGCTCCTAAATCAGCACAAATCAGCAGACAGTAGAATGATATTGTTAAACATCGAACATGATAGTAGAATCATTACAGTGGTAAATATCTATGCACCGAATACTGAAAATTGTAGGGTTGATTTTTTCAGAAAAATATATAAGTGGATTTCTAAATATTCTATGAATGACGAAAACATAATTCTAGTGGGCGATTTTAATTGCTCTATTATTAAAGATAACGACAAAAGTTCAAGCGTTTTGAAAAATTTAGACTTTCATTTTGATCTTGTTGATTTGTGGAAAACTCTAAAAGCAGAAAAAAATGGTTTCACTTGGTGTGATGGAAGTAACACTCCGAAAAGCAGAATAGACTATGTATTTTTAATACAAAATTTTTGTTATAAACCTGAAAATCTTTATTTACGTAGGCCACCATCCGTCTCAAATACA